CTCAGGGCAATCGATGTCTCAACCATTAGTTTCTTGGTTACTGAGGAGATCCTAATCAGTCAACTTTGGTTACTTTCGAGATTTCTTGGTGTGATATTATGGATGAGAAGTTAAGGTAACTCTGATTGTTAACGCAACATTGCAACCATGCTGATAGGGCTACCCCTCATGTTGGGACAAATTCGAAATTGGATCACCCGCTTGAGGAGGGTCCCTAATAGGACCCTTCTCTTCAACGATAGATGGCGTCGATAGCGTCGTTGGACCTGCTACTGTGTACTTGACACACCCCAACTTCGTTGTTATGCGGAGACCGTTAACTTTGAGAGCTCAAGGGGATTCACAAATGACAGAATTGTTAACTTCCTGTTCCCTTTTCACAAATTTTCTCAAAAAAAAATCGATAAAATGGTTACTTACCCAACATTGGAACCTTTTTCGTTGTCGTCGTTGGCGCTGTAGATGCCAAAAAGTTCGGCTGGAACACGAATGGGGCCTGCGCTCCGTTTTGGCCGCTGAACCCGTTGCCACCGTGGAATCCCTGGGACATTCCACCGGCCATTCCAGTGTTGCCACCAGTCCACTGCCCATTGTCTCCTCCGTAGGGTTTCGCGTTGGAAGCGGCTGAACGGTCACCGCCGCCAGCTGCGTAGTTCGTATTACTGTACTTGTTGTTGTTATTATTGTTGTTATTGTAGTTGTTGCTGTTTCCGCCTAGATTCTCTTTTCCGAAGTGTGGACCGAAATTGAACGAGTTTGATCCGAAAAAGTTCGGCATCGAATTCGATTGTGATGGGTTTGGCATAAAGGCACTTGGTGTGGAAGGCTAAAAAATCAATAAAAATAATTAAATGAAAATTTGTGCAACATCAGTAACTCACAGATTTTTCATAGTTTCCAAATGAAGCTGAAGGACGGTGTCCCTTGGTAGTAGGCGGACTGTGGTTTTGTACATGATAAGGTCTCCAGCTGTGGGATGGTCCCATAGGGGCAGAGGCATCGAAGGCGTTCCTGATCGCATACGGTACCTCCGATGCAGGTCTCACCATGGGCGCAGCTATTATTAAGGATTGCTGAAATTGAATAGTATCAACCGCGAATGAATTTTCTCAGAAAATCAAGTGAAAAAAGAGGAAAAGTGGTTTAAATTGTCTGCAAAATTCTCTATCGGAGATTTTCTGATATACTTTTGTAGGAAGATACGAAAGGCGCTGGTTTCGATGGTTGGGAGGGGGAGTTAATTGCAGATACTGGATTTGTTGAGAGATGTTGGATAAAAGCAGGGGAACGCGTCTCCACGTGGAATAACCCTTCTAAACAAATTGCGAGACTCCACGTTCCTTTTGTTACAATGCCAGTCAACCGCAGTGAACTTAATCACAAAGTGACACAACTTTGAGCCTACCCAAAAATTCAAACAGGACCATCGAGGCGAGGTACGCCAGGAACGAATTCGAGAAGTGCAAGAATACGCGAAAATGACTCTGATAGATTGATCACTTTGAACTAAAAACTACTGTTAATCGCGACGTGTACTACTATTATCGCGACGGTATCTCCAAGTTATGGGAGCTATGGGGAAAATATTTCGGAGCATAATAAAAATTCTTTGATTGGAACCTGCATCAGTTTTCTCACGACAAATGTTTTTGGAGCAAGAAAAATGATTAAAATCAAAGGCAGTTCACGATTGCTGAAGAGCGGTTGATGACGTCATTGAACGTTATTGAAACTAGCCCCCACAGCGCGCTCAGAGGCGTGGATGGGACAGCCTCTTATGTCTTTTCACCAATCATGTTCAATGACGTCATCAAAGCCGCCAATAATCATCGTGATCGCTGCCTTTAAGTTTGTCACATAATGACTGCTAAAATGTTAATGCCCCTCCCGCCGGCCCTGCCTCAAAACCTACTTGAAAGAATTGATGACCGGACGAGATTACGTGAGTACTAGAAGACTCACTTTTCCAACCCTCTTTCAATGGTTGCTCGTGAGTAGTTTCCGTTGAACCTGGTACTGACACTAGCACCAGCCCAAAACCTCAAAAAGCCGTCAGGGGAGGAGTTCAAAATAAGTAGCAAACTTTAGCTAATCGTCTTTCCTGCCCCTCTGTCTTCCTGTCGCTAATTTCTTTCTTCAAAACCCCAATACTCCCCCCTCTCCCAATACAACCCGCTCTCTCCTTGTTCGGAAATAAATGCCACTTCTGACCGCTCCCTTCGAAACCCTCAGGCGCGACGCCTCGCTGCGATTCCGTGGCATATGTTTGATCCTATTCGGGGACTCAACTCTACCCTAGCAACTTGTTGGGAGCTCACGCTTAGGGTAATGTAAAACGAAGGTACGGTATGACGAGAAGAAAAAAAACAATCAGTCCTTACCAATATTAAGTATCGGCTGCTTACGATACTTTCTTTCTCGGCATTGTTGATTGATAAAGTCGAAGACCATTGCACCAGGGCAGACCTTACGTTCCCAATAGCCCATTGATCTATAAAAGAATGTTAATATTTATCTTGACATTTTTTCACAGTTTATTGATTGAAGGTAATATTTTTTAGCTTCATACATGTACTAAACGAACCCTTTTCCAGGACTTTGACATGATAGGAATGCTGACGGGTCTCCATCCGGGTCAACAGCTAGTAAACCGTCGAGTTCGCGATTACATGGTAAGTTCAAACCGATATCTGACGCTGAAAATAAGAATTATAGATTATTAACTAAATTTCATTTCTGCTTTGAATTTTTAGGCCCTTTCATTGTAATCATTTTTGTCGGAACATCGAGGTGGTCAGCGCATGGGATACGCCACGCGTTCATCGATCAATCGGGTTTATGGTACGTTGAGCGCTGGCGCAATCTGAGACGCGCCTTCAATCTGCGTGATGGAGTGAGTTTTAACTTTGGATATACAGGAAATAAAATTTTTTTCGCGTTGAAATGAGAAATGAAAAAGCCGGAAAATTTTCAAATAC